CTTTTGTGCTATTTATGATAAAATTAATAGGGAGAACATAATTCAGAGCTTCTAATGTGGGGATGTTTAACCTACTTAAGCAAGTAAATTTTAAAATTATGTTAGGATCAGTTTAGCAGGATCAGTTTATGTAGAGACCATGTGCTACTAGAAATGATTTAGAGATGTGAAATAGAATTATGGAGTGAGAAAAAATACAGAGTTTATTAGCATATCTTCTTCATTTAAAAGATGAGAAACTAGAGGAATGAAAATGTCAACTGATTTATACAAGCCTCTACAGAATAAACAAGACAAGAATCCAGGCCACCTGAATACTCAACTGCGTTCATTTGGATATGTGGGGCTTTGACATTTAAAAGTCATTTTTTTTTTTTCTTTCTCTGGGCCACACTGAGTAGCCATAGTGGGTTTTTTTTTTTTTTTTTTTTTCCAAATTCCTGGTAGCAGTTAAGGGAGTGCTATTTATAAATTTTTGCCTAATTCAGCCTTCCTATTAATTCATGCTGGTGTTCCCAGTATATTTCTGGAGTGGACTACAAGGTTTGGCTGGTTTGCTTGGGCAGCACTGTAAAAAAAGCTATCTGTATGAGAAAGTCCTTGGCAGTGCCATGCTGTATAAATGTTCTCTATTTTAAAAGCTTGGCCTCTAAATACTCAGTTTAATTCATTGGTCCTTAATGAGGTCCATTATGATTTAAGATTTGTTGTCCAGAGTAGATTTTCAGAATCCTGAAGTCTGGTTTGCTTAGGAATTTAGTCTTAATTAAGATCAAAAGGATTTATTGGCCTTTCAACACCCTCCACTAGGATCTGATAGTAGAGAACTCTGGTAAATGTACTTTTCAGGGTCCTGTGCTTTAGACTCCCTCATTTGCTCAAGTAAGTGGATATACACATTTGTCACTTAAAGGGTAGGTGGCTCACACACATTATTCTCTGATTTTAAAGTATTCGTTTGGTCAAAGATATATAACCTTCCACATTCCTATTACCTGGTTTATTTTTTTAAGCTTTTTTTTTTTTTTTTTTTCACAGTGTCATGCTATGCAGCTCAGACTCATAGGGATCCTCTTATTTCAGCCTCCCCAGTGCTGGAATTGTGGGTGTGCACCACCATGCCCATACAGTGCGCCCATGATTCTAGGACAAGGATGGCATGCGGTACCAGGGATGGAACTTGGGTGCTTGTGCTGGTCCGGCAGGTGTTTAGACCACAGAGCTATCTCTCTAGCTCCTTGTTACCTGATTTAGAGTGAATCTAAAGAGAAAGAAATCTAGTGTTCTTTATTTTCAAAATATCCCTGTATTGTTTAATATAACAATTTGAAGCCTTAGCACGGTTACTGCGGCTGACAAGACAATATGCTAATTACTAGAGTAAAATAACAGTAGAAAAGCAACTGCAGCTAATGGAAAGAAATAAAGGGCACCTTAACTATTATTCCACTGTGGAAGATTACAGATGAGGCTACGTTTACTTATGTATTAAGAAATTGGTGAAGCTAGGTACTTCTTAACTCTGGAAACCACAAAACCACAATTAAATACCATAGACTCCTTCCTACTGGGGGATGAAATAGATATATCAGGACTCATACTAACATCTAAGATACAAATGACTTTGTTTTTTCTCCTCTGCCTTTTCAGATTTAATAATTTTGATTGGAAAAAGAATAGTTGAGACTTAAATTTATTTTTTGGTCAGAAGGATAGAAGTACTTGACAGTGTCTAGCAAGAAGCACACTGTACTCATGGTTTTTAGCAACTAGCCCTACCCAGGGCTTGACTGCTGAGTAATTCTGGGCGGTGCCAAAAGCTAGCACCCACCCTTTCCTGCTGGAGCATAGTTGGGCTTGTTGTTTTAACTCTGACCTTTCCTTCTCTGCTTAACTTTGTATTCTGTTACAGAACACAGTTCAAAGGACATTTCCTGGTGACCCTCAGCAGAGCTCAAGTTCCCTGACTGTGCTGTCATTGCCTATGGTACTTCTTCAGTGCCCTTCTTAGAACTTGTGGTGGTGGGTTTGTGTGACACGTGGAAATTTGATCAATGTCTCCTTCTTTCTTCAAATTATAAGGTACCTAAAGGACCTCTGATAAATCAAACATAAATCAAATGACAAATCTCTCTCTTTTTTTTTTTTTTGGTCTTCTTTTAATTTTTTTATTTTCTAAAAATATAAAATAGTAAAAAAAAAAGCATTAAAATGATAGAAAATTCCTTAAACAAAATAATAGGAATTTAACAATGGTTGTGGTATTGCATGATGCTATGTTCAAATTGTTTGTTTAGGTTACCAGATATAAACCTGGAAAATTGATTTAAAAAACCCAGGGCAAAACAAGATCAAAAATAAAGTTATAAGGAAGTAAAAGGGAAAAATAAGAATAAAAAAGAATAATATTTCTACTGCTTCTTTCAGTAGAACAGCGGAAATCAGAAGTACAATTATCTAAACTATCCTGTGTGTATAGATAAATATATCTTTTCCCCTTCTTTCTTTTGAATGACAAATCTTCTTAATGAACAACAATAATGCCTACCATTTATGGAATCACTCCCATTTATGCCTACCATTTATTTCTATATATAAGATACTGTGCTGATGTTTTACATACTTAATTAACCCACAGTACCACTCTACAAAGTTTAAATTTCAAATATGTAACACTATATTGGCTAGCTATATCGGTATAAGGCCAGGAACTTTTCTTTCATTGAGTCTATTATTTACCATTTCACCTTTTTTTTTTTTTTTTGATATGGACTATACCAGAAAAGCCCTCTGATTTCCATAATGTCTGGAGCATCATACCTGCAAAACAATTATGCCTTCAGGATTCTTTTAGATTATAACTTCTCCCATAACAGTTTTTCCAATTATGTCACCAACAACTAATTCAGCAATAGTTTTAAGTGACCTGTCTTTGACATTTTTCCTTCATATCTCATTATGAATGTTTGTTTCATAATTAAAATAAGTAAAATTTTCCTATTTGAAAACATACCCAATGTGTCCTGGTAGGCATATTACTTGGTTAAGTAATCTTGTCCTTTTTTTTTTTTTTTTTTAGAAATTGGAAACAAATCATTTAATAGTTATCTTTACATGCTTTCTTTGTAAATTTTTCTTGCTCCAAAAAAATATTCTCAGCTTTTATATCACTGATATTTTTAAAAATCAAAGCATGAGGATATTAGTCTTAAGTTTATAATTACACTACAAAACATTTTAAAAAGTTCTGTGATCTCAAATATCTTTACATTTATAGACAAAACGGCAGCATTTCAAATAAGTGACAGTTCTTTTATAATGATTAAAGCATCTGAACTATACCACATAATAGAATGTCAACCAGCACAGGTCAGTTTTCCTCAGTATACATAAAATTATTTACAAGGGAAGTGGTCTTATTAGAAGTTGTAAAAATTTGGTGATAGAAACATATTTTTCAATCTGAGTACACAGAATCAAAAAGCCATCACAGCATTGCAAATGTAAAAATCATGTAAACTCAAATTCCCTTGCAATTACACAGTTCTCATTAAAACACTCATATTTACAAGGTTCTTAAAACAACTGTAAATGTAGTCAATATTAAAGTATATCTTGAAGAAGGCATGGTCTTTTCCAGGCATTCCCAGTTCTGGGTTCCACCTGCAGTGGGCTAACCTGCAGCTCAGAGTGGAAATCTGAGCTGGTGCATAGATGGAAGGAATGTAGTTGGTCCCTGAAGAGCTCCAGGTCCTGGGCCTCTGCGTTCACCAAGATGGCAGCAGGCAGCATGACCGCAGTTACACCGTGCTGACAGATAGCACTGCGCATGGCCAGGGAAGAGTGCAGGAAACTGTGCCAAGTCTGACAACACGGAGCTGCACGCTTGCACCCTCCTCTTTTGCCAGCAAAGAGGCCTCCCTCTGCTGCATTACCACACATCTCCCTGTGGGACTCACCAAGGACAGGAAAGGATTTCCAAACAAGTGACCTCTATACATAGCCACTTCAAGTGTTTTGCATTCTTTCCCTCTAGTTTCTAAATATGAAAACTGAAAACCTTTTTGGCAATAAGGAATCTATAATATTAATCATTCTTGTAGGTTTTATTTTTATTTTTTAAAAAGTGCTATGGGGTTTTGTGTTCAACAGAGTTGGAGAAATTAGCATTTACTGGAATGGGAATCCACCTGTAGCCATTCACTACTGCCCTCCTCAGCCATAGGAAACATGCTCCTGTTCACATACAGCACACCCCTGTCCAGAGCCTTGGGGGGCACCGCACACAAGCCCTTGCCCACAGAGTTGGTAACTTGAGCATTAGCTCAGCCTTGCCCTGTGCAGCTTTGCCACCCCTCCTCAGGTCACTGTGGTACTGTCACTTCTGCTTCACAGATGGTGTTGGGTAGCAGCCTAGGCCCTTGTTGTTCCCAACTCACTTTACCTGGTCACTGTTCTCATTCTGGGTGCCAGGCCATCCTGGGCCCTGACCCCTTGCAGGCAATGACTGCCGACTGGAGGCAGCAACAGAAATAGGATTCTCTTTGAATGGTAAGCACTGAATGCAAAATATTAAACAGTACCATGGGAAGGGAGGGAAGACAGGAAGAAAAAAGGGTAATGCTCCCACGAGGACCACTGCAGTTCATGAGCTGGGAATTAGTGGATTGTTTTAAAAAAGAAAAGAAAATACATAATGCTACTAAATTGTTTCCTTGGCCCCTGAAAACATACTCTCTCATCTGAAGTCTCTGTAAAAGGATTTGGTTTTTTAAGTTTTTATCAATTTCTCTTCCCAGACAGAGCCATCTTGACAACAAACGGCCCAACATTCAAGTTTGCCTTCAGATTTGGCTTTTCTTTTAAAAATATGTAAACAAATAAGGAGCAGGAAACTTTTGCCTATGAGAAAAGGTCTGAACATGAGCAGGTAGCGAGGAAGGTCAGTGCACAGTCCCAAAGGAAGGTGCCTGGTCCCCGTCCTGCCCAGAGCCTGGAGCCTAGTTGCTGTTCAACTCTTCCTTGTACTTGGCCCAAATGGCCTGGCCATTCTGCAGCAGCATTTCTTCATAGTCACTCCTGTAGATCACATCGTCATCGAAGTCATTGAGTGTGGAAAATGCCTGGTTGTCTTTCAACTGGTACTCATAAGACCATTCTTTGAAGGAGAATATATAAAGGCCAAAGTGTACAGGTAGAAGTTCAACAAGCCATAGAATGATAAGAATTCTGTTGGATTCTGGTAATGAGTTGACAGCTCTGCTACAAAGTTGTCCTGCAATACTTGTGCTTCAAACCTTAAATAAAGGATGACGATGCTAATAACAAACACTACAAAGGTCAATGTTGTCAAAAATTTTAACCTGAGATCCATGTAAGACATGTTGCAGAGCTTGGAGCACACATACACCATCAAGAACAAGAGGTACAGGATGTACACAGCTGCCACTACCATGAAGAAAATCTTCATTCCCTGAAAATTTCCAGTGTCCACTCGATACTGGTACATTGGGTCATGTAATTCATTAACTGTTTGCCATATTCCTAGAGTGACAGAAGCCAGGCACAATAGTCCAATGATGAAGAATTTAGACAAATAGAAAGTAAGGCATTTTCTTTCTCCTTGAACCCACATCCCGTGGTACACACACAGCCAGAGGAGCAGCAAGGCACACAGGAACACAGACTGGAAGAGATCATCCAGCATCCCTGGGAACCAGCTGTTCACCAGGAAGGAGAGGGGGAAGAATGGGTCATTGTACAGCATTAGCAGTGACAGGAGGACAGACATCCACTTCTGCTGAATGCCCCAGTCTTTCATGGAGAACTTGCGCAGGGAATGCACAAACAGGCAGGTGACAATGAAGGTGAGCACCACAAAGACAAAGCAAAACCAAATTTCAAACTGGGAAAACACAGGGTCATACGTCTTCCATGTGAAGTTCATCTTCTTGATGGGGAGGTTCAGGTGCTCGAATCCCACAGTTACTGTGTATTGGGTGTAGTTCGAGTAGCCAAGGTGAGCCACAATGATTTCTGCACATTTCCCCACACACATGAGGGTCCTTGTCCAATTGTGAACCTTGCTGTGAATGTACATCATGGTTCTGTCTTGAGCCACACCATTGACTTTGAGAGTCATGGGAAAGCTTGTCTGATTAGAAGTTTCTTTTGATTGCTCCAACTCAACAACTCATGTCAGCTCCAGTTGCTGATTTTACGTAGACAGTGGATTTGAACATATTAGGATTGGTTTTAGCTTTTTGCTATTCTTTAGTGAAAAATTAGCTGCAGAAGTCTGAATCACTTCAGGTCCTCTGATCCCAACAAAGATGGTCAGACCAAATCAGATGAAGAAGACCACAGAAACAAGCACAAAGTGGCACTTGGACAGCATGTAGAGCAGCATGGGCACCAGTCGTTCCATCTTGGTGGCATCAGCTCAGCCTGGCCACAGTGTGTCCCTAGCACACAGCTGCTACTGCAGCCATAGCAATCAGCCACAGAAAACACAGCCAATCTTGTCCTTTGAAAGTAGTCATTGAATGGTAGAAAGTCACAAGTAGTCATTGAATGGTAGAAAGGTTTGAGGTCTTTAATGGAATACATGATTTTCTTTCACTGTTGGCTGGCAGATTCTCTTGGTAGACCTTGTCTAATATGGCAAGCAGCTATGGGCACACATAGTAGCCACTCAACAGTTAATGAATTATTTAGGATTTTCTTCTGAAGTGAGGCCATTTTTTATCACCTATCATTGTATGATGCAAAGATGCATCCTGAAGGACCAGTGAGATAACTCAGCAGGTTAAGCTCCTGCTTTGGCAAATGCCTGCTTTGGCAAGCACAGAGACCAGGGTTCAATCCCCTATTTTCATGCCATGCCTGCACTACCCCCAGGGTGTGCTGAACCTGTGACTGAGTGTGGGTGTGATGATGCACATCTGTAATCCCAGTGCTGGGGAGGCTGAAAACATGAGGATCACTATGAGTATGAACTGTGTAGTGAGACACTGTACTAAATATACAAACTGAAAAACAAATGCATCCTGCATTTTAATTAATTTTATTGAGAAACAAATAGCAATAATACAGTTTCAAACTGATTAATATGAGTGTTTCAATAATTAATACATTGTACATTGTTATCTTCTTAGTGTTTATCTATAGTACAAGATGCAGACAAGATATCCTGTCCAAACACTATCAGCATAAATCTTTCTTCTCATCGAATTAAGTGAAAGTAGCTATATATCTATCCTAACTATTCTGTATATACAGATACAAAATGGTCCTTCCTTTGTATCCACTTATTGTTTGGTCCTGTTAGAGATGGGTATTCCATTGCCATGTAAATACTGTAGGTGCCTGAATTCAGCAAAACAATCCAACACAGTACAGCAATCCACAATAGTAGTGGGTTATCTGCAGGACTGGCAATATCAGAAGTTGTTGACTTGAGCCTTTCACAAAGCAGCACATTAATATGGCTTTACTTCATATACCTCATTTTTATACTTTTCTGCTGGATGGTTAAGTCCAAGATAAAGCAATATCTATATAACAAGAATTGTAACTTTTGAATGTATGCAATGTGTGAATTATTGAAACTGTCTTACCAATTTGATTTGAAACTGGCTCATTGTTGTTTGTTTATCAATAAAATTATGGGAAAAAATTGTAACTTTTGTATCTGATAAGGTCAGTCAAGTCCCCTCAGGATTTATCCTGTAACTCTGTACTGCAGTTTGTAGATCCTTTGTCAGTGTCAGCCATGTGGATGAGTCATGGCCATTTCTTGACCAATTTGCTTTCTGTGAAAGCCTGAGAGAATGTTTTCTCTCCATGTGACTCTCCATAGGCATAGTCTACATCATTGATCACTTTCTTCTGTGGCCCCATAATGATGTTATGGTATAGGTTCTCCTATGTCCTGAGTCTTAACTGACCTTGAAAGGCTAGGGTCAAAATGTTGGCTGTCCTTGCAGCCCTTCTATTTCTCTAATTTTTGGTCTGCAAACTTAGATTGTTAACCCTCCAAAAGAGAAGCTTATTATTACCCCACAACATACGTAGTTGAGTTTAACCTCACTACCTGTTTGAATATCAAACATCCTAGGCATAACATGGAACAGGTACTTTCCATCAATTATTGATATGTTAAACTTTAAGAACCTACAGAATATGGAGAAAAAATTAAAAAAGTTAAAAAGTATGAATAAACAATTACATATTTTCACATAGAAATCTAGAAATCCAACCATACGCAGCATTCTCGCAGGATAGTCCTGTGACATTCTTTTCTTCTTGTGTCTTTTTTATTACCTTTTTTAAAAAACAAACATTTACTTGAGAGATAGTACAGCAACAATTGGTATGTGATGACAAGCAGTACATATTTAGAAGTCAAGAATGATGGGCATTCCAAGTGTGACCCTTCTACTACACATTGCTGCATTCAGTGCAGCTGCATGGTTCACAGATATCACCATATATAGTAAGTCAGAGTGAGAATCCTGCCAATTAACTGCTAGTTTCACAAACCTGATGTTGTTTCTCAGCATTATTGCCTTACTCATCTCATGTGTATAAATGAATGGCTTTTCCCCTGTTCTGTTTCCCAGCTTTTCTCCTTGCCCTCTCCCTGTTGTCCAATCCTAAAGTTCTCACTTTCCTTTCAGTTGTGTAATTCCTTTCTATTTGTATTTCTTCTTTTGAGTTCTTATACTAGGGAGATTATACAATATTTACATATGTGGGCCTGGTTTATTTCACTTATGAGTGTATCTTCAAGTGGCATCCACTTAAATATAAATGCTTCAAGTTTATCATTCCTTATAGCTGAGTAATACTCCATTGTTTAAAAATGTCACATCTTTTTCAACCATTGCTCATGTGATGGGCATCTTGTTGTTTCCAAGATTTGGCTATCACAAATTGTCCTGTTATAAACATAGGTACATGGGGCCAGGAAGATGGCTTAGTGGAATAAGTGCTTCCCTGGCAAGTGCAAGGGCCAGAGTTCAATCCCTGGTTCCACAAAAAACAAAACAAACAAACAAAAAACAAACAAACAAACAAAATAGGTACACATATATCAGTATGAAATGAGGTTTTCAGTTCCTCCAGAAAAATTCCCAGTAGGGAGATAGCTGGTATGAATGGGATTTCCAGCCCTAGTTTTTAAAGGAGTCACCACACTGATTTCCATAATGGTTGCACCAGTCTGCATTCCCACCAGCAGTGGAGAAGTGTTCCCTTTCCCCCACAGCCTCTACAACATTTGTTGTTGGTTGATTTCTCTATGATATATCATTCTTTCTTGGGTGAGATGGTATCTCAGTGCTGTTTTAATTTGCATTTCATGGATGGCTAATTTTGTGGAGCATTTTTTCATATATTTATTCGCTTCTTTAATTTTGTCCTCTGAGAAGTGTGTGTTCATCTCGGATGCCCATTTCTGAATTGGGTCTTTAAATTTGGGGTCCCTAATGTTTGTTACTTCTTTGTAAATTCTAGAGAGCAGACCTTTGTCCAAGTGCTTATTAGTCAAGTGGATGAGTCATGGCCATTGCTTGACCAATTGCTTCCTGTGAAAGCCTGAGAGAATGTTTTCTTTCCACGTGATTTTTCCATAGGCACAGTTTACATCATTGATCACTTTCAAAATTTGTGAGTTGTCTTTTCACTTTGTTGGTAATTTCTTTTGACGTGCAAAACTTCTCAATAAGAGGAGGTTCCAGTTGTTAATCCTTTCAATTATTAACTGTGCGATTTGATTTTTGTTCAGGAACTCTTTTCTTACCCTTATGTATTCAAGAGTTCCTCCTAATTTCTCTTCCAGGACATTTAGTGTTTATGTTTTAATGTTTGCATATTTAATCCATTTTCAATTTAGCTTAGTGCATAGTGATAGACCTGGGTCAAGATTTAGTTTTCAGCATGTAGAGAGCCAGTTTTTCCAGCACCATTTGTTAGGGTCTATCTTTATTTAAGTGAGTATGTTTGATCCCTTTGTCGAAGATCAGGTGACTGAGTGTGTTTGTCATGGCCTCTGCATCTTCTAATGAATTCCCTTGATCCTCAGGTCTATTTTATTGCTAGTATCATGCTGATTTTATCACAGTAGCCTTGTAGTATAATTTCAAGTCAGGAATTGTAATGCCTCCTGCCTTGTCTTTGTTGCCCAGTATTGCCTTTGCAATTCTAAGTCTTTTCTGTTTCCAAAATAAATTTGAGGAATGATTTCTCTAGGTCTGTGAGGTATGTTGGTGGTAGTTTGGTAGGTATTGCATTAAATCTGTACAACAATTTTGGGAGTATGGCCATCTTTACAATGTTGGTTCTTCTTATCCAGCAGCATGGAATATCTTTCCATTTTCTGAAATCCTCTACTATCTCTTTTTTCAGAGTACTGTAATTTTCCTTGAAAAGGTCTTTGACTTCCTTAGTTAGATTAATTCCAAGATATTTCATTTTTGGTTGTGCTATTGTAAAAGGTATTATTTCTCTAACTTCCCTCTCAGTGTATTTGTTATCTGTGTAGAGAAATGTTCCACAGACTTTTGGGTATTTACTTTGTATCCTGCTATGCTACTGAATTTGTGTATCAATTCTAGTAGCTTTTTGGTGGAGTTTTTTGGGTCTTCCAAGTAAAGTATCATGCCATCTGCAAATAATGATAACTTCTTTACTTAGTTTTATTCCTTTTATTTCTCTCTCTTGTCTAATAGCTGTAGTTAATGATTCCAGAATTATATCGAGTAGGAGTGGTGATAGAGGATATCCTTGTCTTGTACCAGATCTGAGAGTAAAAAATTTCAGTTTTTCCCCATGTAGAATTATATTAGCCATTGGGTTGTCATAGATAGCTTTTATCAAATTGAAATAGAGGCCTTCTATTTCAATTTTCTGCAGGACTTTGAACATGAATGAAAGTTGAACTTTGTCAAAAGCCTTTTCTGCATCAATTAAGATGATCATGTGATTTGTAGATTTTGCTCTATTGATATAGTGTATTACATTTATAGATTTTTGCATATTGAACCATCCTTGCATCCCTGGGATGAATCCGACCTGGTCATAGTGTATGATCTTCTTGATGATTTGCTATATTCTATTTGCTACGATTTTATTGAAGATTTTTGCATCTATGTTCATGAGGGTGACTGGCCTGTAGTACTCTTTTTTAGTTGTGTTTTTCCCTGGTTTTGGTATCAGTATATTACTTACCTCCAGGAATAAATTTGGGAGAATTGTTTCCTTTTCAATTTCATCAAAGACTTTGAGGAGTATAGGAATTATATCTTTTGCAAATTTCTTGTAGAATTCATCTGTGAATCTGTCAGGACCTGGACTTTTCTTTGTTGGCAGGCTTTTTATTACATCTTACATTTCACTGGCTATTATTGGGTTATTAAGAGTTCT